TGTAGAGGGAGCTTTACTCTGTATCTAACCCTGTGCTGTCCCTGTCCTGGGACTGTTTGATGGGGGGGACAGTGTAGAGGGAGCTTTACTCTGTATCTAAGCCCGTGCTGTCCCTGTCCTGGGAGTATTTGATGGGAACGCTGTGTGCCTTGAATAGGAAGTGGTTCTATCAGTCAGTAGCTAACAGTAGTGTAAGAGTGTTGTGGGTATGTGGGGGGTGGGGGGTAAGGGGTAGTGCGGGGAGGCCTAAGAGTGCAAACAGGAGCCTGACTCCGCTGTGCCATTGGTCCTGTTCAATCGAGCTGAGGCCATTCAGTCATTGGAGAGCAGACTAGCTGGCAGGTTGGGGATGGGTGGGGTGAGTGGAAGAACAGTACCGCTGCGTTAGGAAACTGCAGTGTGGAATTGACCTCCAGCCCAGTCCTTCGGACAGGGTCCTTGTGGCTATTTGCCTGGGATGGGATGGGGCTGTGAGGTTGAGGGCACGGGGGAAGGAGGCTGCAGTTTCCCCAGAGTTTTTAACCAAACCTGCCCCCTCCCCTCCCATCCCATCCCCTCCTCGCACCACTCTTCACGTCACAGAGTCCTTTTTCCTTCGGAAGGGTCCCTTCAGTCTCTTCCAGACACTGTTTTTGACCTTACTGAGCCTCTCCTGTGCCAGCACGGCCTCCTTCTCCTTCCTCCGGATCTCCCGCACCATGGTATGGAACACGTCATCGATAAAGTAGCGGAGGGCAGCCGAGGTCTCAAAGAACGGGCAGTTGAACTCTCGAGCTAGCACCGTGCCCTCCTCCTTTGACACCTGTGGCAAGTTTGGGGGCGAAGGGGGGTTATGCAGTGAGAGGGTTAACCGGGGACACGGAACTAAACCCCAAAAACACACATCCCATCCCCCACCCCCATCAACAGCACCATCTGCTTGCTCATGGTCTGTACACGGAGCTCCATGACAGAGCTCTGAACTGTCCCTGCCCGTGGTCTGTACACTGAGCTCCGTGACAGAGCTGATCACCCCGCACAGAGCTCTGAACTGTCCCTGCCCGTGGTCTGTACACGGAGCTCCGTGACAGAGCTGATCACCCCGCACAGAGCTCTCCATGACAGAGCTGATCACCCCGAACAGAGCTCTGAACTGTCCCTGCCCGTGGTCTGTACATGGACCTCCATGACAGAGCTGACCACC